ATAATACATGCTAATATGATTCCATTTACAAATACTCTATTCATTATAACTTTTCAAGAATATACCTATTGTGTACAGTGAGGCTTAACCATAATCATTTTTTCCTGGCAGTATAAGGTTTCCTACTTCTGAAAAGTGATTGAGCTGACCTTGTCAATTCGACTGGGGGAGGAAGCACTCTTCCTTATTGTCTCCGAGAAGGGATTTACCTGTCCAACAGCAAGGCTGTGGATTCTGTCTCTGCATTATGTGATGTTGAGTAGCTGCTGGTATAATGTTACATTTTCCCTGAGCTCCTCTCAGTAGCCGCAGCCAAAGCCCTAAAGTGTAAACTAGTCTCGCTGTTTTCTTACTTCATTTCATATACAAGATATGCTAATAAAAATTATTTGTTGGCTGGACATGGTGGCTCATGCCTATAATCCCAGAATTCCAGGAAGCTGAGGCAGGTGGATCACTTGAACTCAGGAGTTCGAGACCAGCCTGGGCAACATAGTGAGATCCCCATCTCTACCAAAAAAAAAAAAAAACAAAAACAGCCGGGTGTGATGACACACATCTGTGGTCCCAGCTCCTCAGGAGGCTGAGATGGGAGAATCCTGTGAGCCAAAGAGTTGAAAGCGGCTGTAAGCTATGATCACACCACTGCACACCAGCCTGGTCAACAGAGGAAAACCTTGTCTCTAAATTAATGAACTAGTTAATTAAATAATTTTGTTGCCGATGTCCTGATAAATATGTGACAAGCATTACTTGTAAAAAGCAATGTTTCTCTCTCTTTTTAAAAAATTTCAAGACATTTTCTTATCTGAATTACAACATAAACTGGGGCCAGTATTCAAATTAGGGCTCTCCCCAGCAAAATAGGAAGTGATAGCAATTTAGGACCTGTCTCCTTCTCTCACTGGGTCCTGAGCCTGAATCTTCGCATAGCTTTGTGGTGTTACGCAATTGCTCTTTGTAAGAGATACATAAAATGGAAACCTTAGCTATTCATAGCCAACTTAGGAGGAGCTGAATTTGATCAAGAAGTTTCTTGCCGGGTGCCATTTTGATGGTAACTATGTGTTTCTGAACAAATCCACTTATAATCTGGGTTTCAAATGGAGGTTATTTTAAAGAGCTGTAGCATGGCTTTTGTTTTCATCCTCTGTGGTGACTATATTTTAGAAGTAGACAAGCATTCCTGGCATATAGCCTGAATATTTTTTTAGGTTTTTTAGTGGTAAAAGAAGCTCACATGGAAAGGCAAGGGCAGAAAAAATCATGTTCAGGGCAGTCCTATGTGGCATTACCCTCTGGTGAAGCAGATCCACACTGCATGCTGCTAATGGCTATTGCATGACAGCTCTTAAAGGGGTAAGTGAGAGAGGTGCAGAGGGCTGGTGAGAAGCAGAGCTAGCACTGAGGCCCTCCAAATGGCATCATCGTCAATCGGGTTGGCGGCTGCTGCTGGAGATGGTTTGGCTGCCCCTGAAGGCTCAGCTTCTCACACTGTATATGCAGGTAGATTTCAGCCATTTCTAAAGCCCATCACTGGCAGGGAAATCACATTTAATCCATCTGTGAGGTTCTCTAACGAGGAGTCTTTTTTTTTTTTTTTTTAAGATGGAGTCTCACTCTGTTGCCAGGCTGCAGTGCAGTGGCACAATCTCAGCTCACTGCAACTTCTGCCTCCTGGGTTCACGCAATTCTCCTGCCTCAGCCTCCCAAGTAGCTGGGACTACAGGCACACACCACCATGCCCAGCTGATTTTTGTAGAGACGGGGTTTCACCGTGTTGGCCAGGATGGTCTCCATCTCTCGACCTCATGATCCGCCCGCCGCGGCCTCCCAGAGTGCTGGGATTATAGGTGTGAGCCACCGCGCCCGGCCGAGGGGCCTCTCTTTTCAGAAGTCAGAAGCGCCGGAATTGAAAACAGCAGCAAGAAGGCTTCATTGCATTCTTGAATTCAGGCTGTTGCACTCCGCCCCCCAACAACTGTCTCTGAATTGTTGCTACCCAGTTTATAGCTCCGTATTTTTGTTGTTGTTTCTCCAGTGCAGTCTGTAGTGGTGGCAGGTACAGATCATAAAACAAATGGATAAGTACTGAATAAACTATATTCGTTCAGTTTTCTTTTTCCCTGGTGGTAATTTTTAAACTTTTCAAAATTAATGCTAATGGATATAGAGGAATGGGATATGCATTTCTGTGCATTTTTATGACCAAACAGAAAACCGACCCCTGAGAGTGACATATTCACTATTCTCTACTACTCGGGGTGCTTCAAGGGAGGAGTGTTTGAAGCCCTGTGGTTTAAACGAAAGGAGAGCATAACCCACCCCACCTGAACAAACAGCAGCCGGGCAGATTTCATCTCACAAATGGAAATGGGAGCAAACAAATTTTTTCAAAGCAATTTTATAAAGAGTGGGCCTGTTTAATTGGGTTTTTTGAGCCAGGATTAATATTATAAGCTGGGGAGCTCTGTGACATGGCTGCGTCGTTGGCTTTGCCATACCGCCTACCTCCTGGGGGAAGGCAGAGGAAAGCGCTGCTATTCAGAAGCAATTTTACTTCTGCCTCGGCCTTCTCACTTCTCACTGAAGTGATTTACAGCCAGCCTGGACCCAGCGCCCAAGCCTGAGCTGAGTTACATGTAATGTTGGAAAGATCTTCCCCAAATCAAGGTCATATCTAGAGCTTGCCTTGGATATTTTTTTCATTTCTAATTTATGTAACTTTCTAATACGTTTAGCATTTGCCCTTCCCTTGTCTCCATCCTGCTTATTAAGGTGAATTTGCATAGAAATGGGATCTTGGTCTTCAGGACCATTCACCTGACACTTGATCCCACGAGGCGACCACTGTCTACTGTTGATTCCATGAGGATGACCCACAGAAGCGATGTCTCTCTGAAAACTAGAGGCAAGGCCTTAATTAGAAGAAGCCTTGTGTGTTAAAGTGATGGGGTGAATCAAATCAGCAAAGGCATTTAGCATTAACTTAGGAGGGCAGAATACTCCTTCCTGTTGAGTGGGTCATCCTAGGTCACAACCATTTTAATTTGCCTTCGATAGATGGATCTTGAAGAAAGTGTACAAAAAGTATATTTGTGGTGCTGTTGTTTGGAAGTACGTTTTGACTGGTGATAAAGCTCAGAGAGTTAACTATGACATTTTACTTTGGCTCCTGGTCTATTTTTTGCTTAACATCTACCTTTGAATGGGTAATAGTCATCTCTGTAAATTACCTTCGAAAGACCGAGCAATTGTGGAGAATCAGAGAAATGAGCCCCTTGCTATCACCCTGTTGCAGTCGCTTTAATCCTCTGATCTCTTGGCGTTTCACCCTCTCACTGGCAGCCACCTTCCTTATTTACCCAACTCTTGCTTACTTGGGTAGGAATTCCCACTGAGAGGACAACTGTGGTCCCAGTTGACTGGTCACTGAAAGTCTATTAGGTTAGAGGACATTTATTTTCTACCCCAAAGGGTTTGAAACTTAGGGAAATTTTGATCAACAAGAAAATAACAGCTTTCAAGATTGTCCTGACATTAAGATGTCTTAGCAGAGAATCACAGGATTTGATAGTCATGGAGATTAGGTCTCGAATTTCAATGAGAAAAGTTCATAGGAGATGGGAGTGACAGAAGAAAACTTGTGCTGATTTTGGTTAGGCTACCTTTGCTGGGGGAAAATGCATTCCATAAAATTATTTTAAAACGTAAATACTATTTAGCTTTATCTTGTATAATACTTTGCATATATATATATATATGTAGATATAGATTTTTATTTTTTTTGAGACAGAGTCGTCACCCAGGCTGGAGTACAGTGGCACAATCTTGGATCACTGCAACCTCTGCCTCCTGGGTTCAAGCGATTATCTTGCCTCAGCCTCCTGAGTAGCTGGGATTACAGGCACGTGCCACTGCACCTAGCTAACTTTTGTATTTTTAGTAGAGACAGGATTTCACCATGTTGGCCAGGATGGTCTTGAACTCCTGACCTCAGGTGATCTGCCCGCCTCAACCTCCCAAAGTGCTGGGATTACAGGCATGAGCCACAGCACCTGGCCTGCATCTATAATTTGATTTAACCTTACAACTTTATTAATTGAATATTATGATCACCAATTTATAGATGAGGAAACGGAGACTCCAAGGGTTTAATTACTTGCCCAAGAGTGTACAGCTATCTACCAACAAAACTGGGACTGAGGCCAGCTCTCTTGCCATTACATCCCCACTGCCTCCTAAAGCACAACTCTAGTTCATACTAAATGTATTACATAGGCTGATTCATTTATCTTTACACAGGTCTCACACGTTACGAGAAGGGGGCCACAATTTTAACTCAATTCAAAAATGTTAACATCAAAATTTCCAAAATGTACTTGGTTTATAATATAATCATAAAATAAGTAATCTGACCAATTGAGTCTCCCAACTCGAAAACCAAAAAATGCTTTCTACTCTCAAACCATGCAGAAGGAAGCTGAGTTCCCCACTGGCCAGTGCTGTCTAATTCTCTTAAATGATTCAGATGTAAAAGAGGAAATGGCATCTGTCTAATTAACACTGCCTGTTTAAATATAGCTGCCAAGGGACAGCCTTGGGACAGTGTTTACAGAATAGTCTTTCCAGCCCCTCGGGCCTCAAGTTACAAATGATAGCAAGCCTTCTTCCCTCCTTATCAGCTGCGAACAGAGATGCCCCGAAAAGTGGTGTCAGGCCAGGATGATGAAAGGAGAAGGGAAAGGCTGCGGCTGGCCTTCATTTCCTGCTCCTGGCATCTAGGGATCCCAAGAATGATCCCAGGACCCAGATCCTATAGATTCCAGCAGCTCTTCCTGCAAACACAAGCGCTTGTTGTGCGCCTGAGCCTTGCTCTCCAGCCTGGAGACATCCATCTGCCCACTCTCCTAGGAACTGCTGATTACCAGGAAGCACCATGGGCTCTGCTGCCCTCCCCCTGGCAGAGAGGCACAATGACCACATTATTTCTCTTCCAGCTTCACGTTACAGCATGGAAGCTGTCGCCAAGTTTGATTTCACTGCCTCAGGTGAGGATGAACTGAGCTTTCACACTGGAGATGTTTTGAAGGTAGGTGACGTGGGGCCCCAGGGGAGCAATAGGGAGTTTCAGTTGCTCAGTAATCTGACAGTCCCTGCCTTTGTCTCTTAAGAACTGCATGTGGTTCCTTTTAAAAAGAGAAGTTCACCTTGATTCCCTTTGTGCACCCTTATAGCAGACACCAACCAGGCCAGGTGATGGAAATATAGAGTCGGCATAAGCCACCATCCTTGTCCTGGGAGGTTCGTAGCCTGGAGAGGGGAACACATCCACCCGAAGGGCTGTTACAGATGTTCTTGGCTAAGTTCTCAGGGAGCACAGGTGAGGGAACAAGTGATTCCACCTGGAAAGATGGGGGTTGTAGGAGTGCGTGCAATGTGAACATCAGGAATGCACTGAAGGTGACTTGGGCTTTTACCTAAAGCTCAGAGATGTGCAAGCCCTTGCTGAATTCAGGGAGCAGCGCCAGGCTCAGCAGAGCTGGAACTCAGGAGGAGAGGTTGTGGATAGAGACAGCTTGGGAAAGGCAGCCACAGAGGACATGGCTCAACAAAGGCCATGCACACCTGGCCACTCAGGGGCTTTTTAAAGCTTGTCCTCAGCCTGCACTTGAGTTGTAGAGGCCACTTGCTGGGCTGAAGTGGCCTTGGGCTTCTCCCTCATTCATGCACCATACTTTCAGACTCTACATCTTAGCCCTTGGGTTTTTTGTTTGTTTTGTTTTTTGTTTTTTGTTTTGTTTTGTTTTGTTTTGTTTTGCAAAAGAGCGTAAGCCCTTCAAAAGGGCTTTTGGGAGTATGTGGAGCCAGACCCCCGCTGCCTGACCTCAGATCACCCTCAGATAGCCTGATTCCTGGTCCGCAGCAGTCCCGATGAGCCTTCTCGGATGTCCAGCAACACTGAGGCCATTAGTGTCTCACCACGGAGAATTATGTTTGTTATACAAAGAACCTTATCAGCATGTGAGAGAGTGACTTTGAAAGTGTCTAAGGAGCACAAAACACCACAGAATGGCTTCTTTTGGAATATGAACATGCCCATTAGGTAGCCTTCTAACTGCTCTCAACTTTCAAGATCTAGTACCATGGTGGCAAAGCGTAGGCTTTCACGAACTTAAAATATGAGTTGGGCCTCCTGACCCAGGAAAACCTGTCTGTCACTGCTTTGGGATCTTACCAGGGTCCTGGAGGGACTTGCCGTGCAGTGAGAAGTTCCTGCTTTCTCTATGGGGCACTGTGACCATGTGACTGTCATCCACTGGAGACCATCCTTGCACCAACTTCCACCCTTGTCTTCCATTGCAAAGAGAAGCTGGTATCTTAAGTTTTCTCTATTCCCCAGCAAAAGAAAAGGAAAGAAAAAAAAACTTTGCTCAACTCTGCTTCCCAATCCAGCTCCTGATTTCTTTCCTCTCCTTTGTTGCTAATACTGGGAAGAATTTTCTACACTGGGTGTGCCTCACTTCCTCACTTCCCACTCATTCCACAACCCTCTGGAATCTCCCTTTTACCCTCCCCCCAACATTCTCTTGAAGTTCACCAGTGATCTCCTTAATGTGTAGTATAACGACCCTGTGGAAATGTCTGTGGGGCTGATACTGCTAACTGGCCCTCTGCTGGAAGCCCCTGTCTCCCTGGCTTTGGCAGCACCTCTGGGTTCTTCTCCTCCCTTCCTGAACACTCCTACAGGTCTCATTTCCAAGCATTCTTTTTCCTCTCTTGATCCTGAAATATATACTTCCCTGAAGGTGCTGCCTTTGGCTTTCTGATTCTTCTTCTCACTCTGAGCCACCTCTTCCTCTTTTCCGGCTGCAACCATCACCTCTGTGCTAAAGACCCTCAAGTCTATGGTTCATGTTCTAGCTCTGACCTTGCTCTTGAACTCCAGACCCAGACTTCCAATTGTCTGCTGGATGTCCCCATATGAACTCCAGCCCCTGACTTCGGATGCCCAGAATCACTCCAACCCCCATGCCCATCTCACCCCCACTTCCACCGAAGCCACTCTTCTTTCCATGTTCTAAGTATTGTCCTAGGTCAGTCACAAGCCAGGAGCCCCAGTTATCATCAGTGCCTCCCTTACCAAATCCTGGTGACCAGTAACCAACATCTCCTGAGCTCCTGTTCAGGGCCAGGATCTAGCTAAGTGGTTTGCAGACATGATTTCATCATCTGAGCAAACGTATGAGGTAGGCATTCATTTCCCCTCCATTTCACAGATGAGAAACTGAGGCTAGGGATGAAATCACATGTCCACGGTCACGCAGCTAGAATGAAACCAATCCAGGACCTGGATAGAACTCTGTCTGACTCCTAAGCACTAAACTCTGCTCTGAATGTAATTTTTTCCTCATATCTCTCAAGCACGTCTCTTCTTCACCAGAAGGGAGTGTGAGGCAGTAAAAAGGAGTATAGACTTTGAGTCAAATGGATCTTAGTTTGAATCCCAGCTTACTAGCCGTGGAGCCTGGGGCCCAGTCATCTGCCCTCTTTGAGCTTTAGTGTCTTCCTCAGCAAGTGGAGGTAGTATCTATCTTGCCACGTTGTGGAGAGGATTCGAGGTGATGACCCTGGCCCAACGCAGACGCCCAATAAATGGTGGCCTGCATTATCGGGATCATCCATCCCCGCTGCCTCTGACTGCTCAGATCATTGCGGCAGCTCCTTGACTGACCTCATTACCTCTTGTCTTTTTCCTCCTTCGATCATTCTACATACTAGTCCCAGAGGGATCTTTCCAGACAAATCGAATCATATCATTTCCTTGCTCAAAAGCATTCAGGGGTTTCCAATTACCAATTGATTGAGATTGAAAACATCTGGCCCCAAACCACTGTCCAATGTCATTATGCACATGTACACATGTGTGCACACACACACAGACATCTGTGTGGACGTAACGCCCGCAGGTTGCACTGCAATGTATACACCACCCTTTCTCAGCCTCTCCCCTATATACTCCAAGTGCCCCTCTCCCACACACACACACATATTTGACCTCCTGTACCATGGAAACCTCACTGGTCCTCCCTACTCGCTACCATCGCAGGGAAACAAATCACTCCCTCTTCAGCTCCTCCCCAACATTTCACACAAACTTCACTCATTTCCAGGCACTTATGATTTTGCCTCACATGGCAGCTATTTATAGGCAGGCCATGACCCTGTGGTCTCATGCACCCTCCATTTCTGCCTCTCATTGCTGCCTTTGCCCGGTGGGATCCTAATTGCTCATTTACGTGTTGTCTACTCCACTAGCCAAAGCTGTGCAAGGGCAGGGGCCGTGTCTGCCTCAATGTCTAGAATAGCTGTGCCTGGAACTCCCTGATATTTGGTGAATGAATGACTTCAATTCCTCTCCATTCCCTGAGAGCAATGTCATCATGCACGTGTGCACTCAATGCCAGGTTCATCTTTGTGTCTTCACAGCATCTAACACAACTCATGGCCCAAAATAGATACCCAGTACATATTTCTTGAATTGCTAAATTGCATTTCTTCCTGTTCATTTAGAATTCCGTCGGAAAGCCAACCCCCTCCCTCTTTTCAAATTCTGTCCATTGCAGGTAAAGAGCAAAATGGGGAGGGCTTGTTGACTGAGCCCCACAGAATGTCTGCAGGATGGTGGTTGGTTCCCATGCCTGGGGCTCCCCACATGTAATTGCAGTGTCTGCCCCCTCAATGGGTAACACAGGCAGGATCCTCACAAGTACTTTCAAAGCCAGTTCCTGACTACTCCAGCAACTCGCTTGTGGGATTCTCTGACTCATTTGGCCTTTTGTGCTCAAGACTAAACAGAGGTTTTCATTAGAAAGGTACAAAAAAAGTCTGAGCAGCCACTCACCCTCAACAGACCATGAGTTTCCTGGGGCAGAGGCCCCAGCTTATCTCCATATTTCATGCACCTAAGTGCAATCAGCAGGTGCTCACTAGATGCTGATCTACACGGCATGGTAAACAAGATGGTGGACAGGAAAACGCCACCATATGACTTGATCTTGCTTCTTCTATGACAGAAACATTTGAAAACTCAGGAATCAGATTTTTTTTCCTATTCATGCCACAAAGGTGCATGTCACCATACCTGCAGCTACACACAGAACCAGGCTCACATTTGAATTTGCCATTAAATTTGCCAGCAGCTTTGAAAAATGTCTCTTGACCCAGTCCATTTCTGTCTCCTTCTGTAATGCATCTAATGCGACCTCATTTCTTCCTGCTAAAATAGCAACCTAAAAGCACTAAGAGTTAATTCTACGTAATTTGCTTCTTCAATTCTTCAGATTTCTGCTATGCTTCTAAAAGCTACAATTTCATCCAATTTAAGAATTCTTCCTGCTGTAATTTGGCCCTTCTCTTCCCACGTCTAACTTATGCTCAGGCCATGTAACCCAGAAAATCATCTCTTAGGGAACATTATAAGAATTAAACAGTAAAGAGTAAAACTTCAAGTGTTCAGGCTGAACGCCTCGCTCAGGTTTACACGATGGGTACACGAGATAGGGGGACCGAACAGATGGAGAGATGAGAAGAAGAACAGGAAGTGCGGGGCCGCCCACAACGGCAGGAGGAAACCATCTCCCCTCCCCTCAAATACCTTTCTTTGCAGAAAATGAGAATTTTTTTTTTTAAAACCTCACCTTCTATACATGGTAAAAAGCCTGTGAATTCACCTCTCTAGAAACACAGTGTCAGGCAGACCAAGCACCAGGTGGCGGAGAGAAATGGCTGGCATTGTGGGATAATCTTTCAGTTTCTAGAGGAGGTCTGAGGCATGATAATTAAAATTACAGAGCTGCTTTCAGGTCAGAAAACGAAGTACAAAGTGTGGGGTTTTTTTAGTTTTTGAGACAGTCTTGCTCTGTCGCCGGGCTGGAGTGCAGTAGTGCGATCTCGGCTCACTGCAACCTCCGCCTCCCGGGTTCAAGCAATTCTCGTGGCTCAGCCTCCCAAGTAGCTGAGATTATAGGCATGCACCACCATCCCTGGCTAATTTTTGTCTTTTTGGTAGAGATCAGATTTTGCCATGTAGGCCAGGCTGGTCTCAAACTCCTGACCTCAGGTGATCCACCCGCCTCAGCCTCCCAAAGTGCTGGGATTACAGGCATGAGCCACGGCACCTGGCCTCAAAGTGTGGTTCTTAGGGTGATAAGCCAGTTTCCAAATGGCCTCTGTTACCCCTTTCTGTGTGACATTTGCTACCCTGGCCAAACAGCGCATTCCCGTGTGACGGGAGAAAGGAATTCCAACGCCATGAATTCAGGAGCGATGGATGGAGTGCAGTGCTCTTGGTTCTTTACGTGGCTACGAGGCACTGCTGCAGGGTTTCCTAGTTCTTTTGACCTAGATTTTCTGCTTCCTCCCTTGCCCCCTTAGCACACACATACCCACATGTCCTTGGTGACACCAACAGTCACATTTGATGTTAGAAACTACAGAGTTTTCTGTTCTCAGCAATCTCGAACTCAAATGTGGGACACTTTTATTTCTTCAGAATAAATGACTAAATTCAAAACATACACACATACTGCTTTAAAGAATACATAAACCCTTCCATGTCCTATTCAGAGCTGGAGGCCTCCCTCGTAAGAATACCACATTTGATGGAATTGTATTTTTTTGAAAAGAGTCTACACTTTCTGAAGGACTTTCAGGTACCAGGGCTCATTTGATCCTCACATCAGCTCTGTGAGGTGCTAGATGGCTATTATTATCCCCAGTGTTCACATGGCTAATTGACTTGGCCAAGATCACATATCTAGTGATGGAGCCAAGCTAGAAACCAGGTCTTCTGATTCCCAACCCACAACGCTGTCCCCTTCCTTCCACCTTGGAGTGATGTTAGAAATAGGTCATCATCTCCGCTCAAGCACTTAGTTCTTTCCATTATCTTCCCATCTTCTTTTCTGGGAGAGAGAAGTCCACGGGCCCTGTGACTTCAACTCCACCCACTTTCTGATGACTCTGAAACCCCAAGCCCCACCCTCACCCTCTCTCCTGGATCCAGACTGACATATCCAGCTGCTTCCTGAGCTTTTCTTCTCAGTTGAATAATTCAATTCACAATCACTGCATGCAATCTGAAGCCCATGAGCCCTTTCTCAGCCCTGCCTCCTCTCGTGTATCTTCTATTTCTATAAAGCCATCACCACCTACTCAGTCTCCCAAGCCAGAAATCCAGTGGCATCCCAGAATCCTCTTCTCTCTTAGCTTCCAAGATTGGCCAAGAAATCCTGCCTGTTTGCTTCCTGAATTTCTCTAAAATATATCCTCGCCTCTTCTTAGCCCAGGCCCTATCATCTCTTGCCTGGAGGGCTGCGCTCATCTTCCTACAGTTTATCTCCCAACTTTAGCCTTCCAATCTATCTTCACATTCTGATCTCTGATACAGAACTCTCTCTCTCTCTCTCTCTGTCTCTCTGTCTCTCTCTCTCTGAATTAGAGACAGAGCCTGTCTCTGTTGTCCAGGCTGTAGTACAATGGTGCAATCAGAGCTCACTATAGCCTTTAACTCCTGGGCTCACGCGCTCCTCCCGCTTCAGCCTCCTGAGTAGCTAGGACTACAGATGCACTTCCACCACGCCTTGCTAGGTTTTATTTTTATATTCATAGAGACAAGGTCTCGCTTTGTTGCCCAGGCTGGTCTCAAACTCCTGGGCTCAAGCAATCGTCCCGCTTGGGCCTCCTAAAGTGCTGGCATTACAGGCATGAGCCATCACACCCAGCGAGAGCTCTTTCTGAACTCTAATTCTCACTGTTATTTCCCTGCTCAAAATCCTTTAAGGGCTGCCCCTACATTTCAAGATATTCACAGTCTACATTCCAGCCACCTGGAGGCATTTCATTCCCAGAATGCACCACACCTCCTCAGAGCTGAAGGAGGAAGTTCCATTGCCATCTGACTTGGCCTCAGTAACTCCTTTCATCGCTGAGGCAAGTGGTCTCTGCTCCACATATGAATGCCTTTTCTATCTATTTCTGCTTTCTTCTTTATCATCGTACTTCTATCAGTTAAGATATTTTCAGGAACAAGAAACATAAACTAAAAATGGCTTAAACAATAACAAAGACTTGTAATTTCTCAAAGTCCAGAAGTAGGAAGGCTCCTGGGTATCATCTAATTCAGTGGTTCAGTGCATTATCAGGGTTCTTTCCATCTTTTGCTCTGCTATCCTTATTTAGAATTACTGTTCTAGTCTATATCATAGACTTAAAAAAAGATTTGTTTTTTAAGAGAGAGTCTTACTCTGTTTCCCAGGCTGGATTGCAGTGGCAAGATCACGGTTCACTGCAACCTCGCCTCCTGGGTTCAAGCAATTCTCCTGTGTCAGCCTCCCAAGTAGCTGGGATTACAGGCATGTGCCACCAGGCCCGGCTACTTTTAGTATTTTTAGTAGAGACGGCGTTCCACCATGACGGACAGGCTGGTCTTGAACTCCTGGCCTCAACTGATCTATGCTCCTCGGCCTCTCAAAGTGCTGGGATTACAGGTGTGAGCCACCACGCCTGGCCTCAGACTTTCAAAACATTCTCAGTGGCAGTGCCAAATATTTGTCTTTTAATGGTGAATCTCATTTTTTGAGAAACCAGAAGCCACATACAGTCAAGTCTGGTGAGTAATATGACTAACCAAGGTAGACAATAACATGTGGGGTCACAGTCAAAGTGAGGCCACAGAGTAACAAGACAGAACTTTTGGTTTTGCTTGGGATCTGGCTCTAAAAGCAAGTTTAGAAAAGGCATCCCCAGTATCTTGAGTTCCAGCCAAACTATCTGTGAAATACACAGCATGTGAACACAAAGAGTTACTGTTTCCAAAGCTGGCCCCACTGGGATGTTTAAGTTTTAATCTGCCTGTTTAAAAAACAAAAATTAAATTTTTGAAAGTTTCCTGGGCCAGGCCTGGTGGTTCATACCTGTAATCCCAGCACTTTGGGAGGTCAAGGCAGGTGGATCACTAGGTCAAAAGATCAAGACAATCCTGGCCAACATGGTGGAACTCGTCTCTACTAAAAATACGAACAGTTAGCCAGACGTGGTGGTGCATGCCTGTAATCCCAGGTACTTGGGAGGCTGAGGCAGGAGGATCACTTGGACCCAGGAGGTAGAGGTTGCAGTGAGCTGAGATCGCACCACTGCACCCCAGCCTGGCAACAGAGCAAGACTCCATCTCAAAAAAACAAAAAACAAACAAACAAACAGAAAAGTTTCCTGGTTACCTGGAAGAAAAAAAAAACCCAAAAAACTATGGAGTAGCCACTCTTGGCTTCCCACCATCTGCTCAGATGAGGAACTTAAGGTGCTACCTGGGACAAATGAATTTCCAAAATAGAAGAAGGGATTCAGGGAAGTCCCTGAGTGCTGAATCTGGGAGGCCAAGCCACAGTGGGGTGACATAAGTGGACAGCACAAGTGGACAGAAATAACTCGGGATGAGGAGAAGCTGACTCCAAAGGCAAACCCACGGCTCCTCTACAGGCCTGGGGTAAATCCTAGAACAGCTGTTCAGTTCTTTCAACTTATTAACATATTTTCCCTCTAAGTCCAAAAGGTCCTTCTTTGCCCTACAGCCCCTTTCTCTTGTTTTTTGGTGTCCTCCCTCCAATGTCTTTGTCTTTCCTTTTCTTCCATGTAGATTTTGAGTAACCAAGAGGAGTGGTTTAAGGCGGAGCTTGGGAGCCAGGAAGGATATGTGCCCAAGAATTTCATAGACATCCAGTTTCCCGAGTAAGTATTCACAGCCTGCTGAGATGGGCCTACCCCCACACACTCCTCTGACTTTCCCAGCAATCACTACAATTGTCCATGGGAACCCAGGACATTGTCAAAAATGGCTGACTCTGGAGATCTCTCCAGAGAGACGCCAGAGCATGCAGCTGAAGGCCAGGGCAGGCGGGAGACTTTGCATTTCATTTCATTCCCTTTTGATGTTTACACCATGTGTGTGTATTGCTATTTTAAGTATTTCTTTCCTTTTTTTTTTTTTTAGTTTTTTTTGTGAGTCAGGGTCTCACTCTGTCACCCAGGCTGGAGTGTGGTGACTCCATCACCACTCACTGCAGCCTAAAACTCCTGGGCTCAACCATCCTCTCACCTCAGCCTCCCGAGTTGCTGGAATTACAGGCACATGCCACCACGCCGGGCTAGTTTTTCTGTTTTTAGTAGAGACAGGGTTTCACCATGTTGGCCAGGCTGGTCCCCAACTCCTGACCTCACGTGATCTGCTGCCTCAGCCTCCCAAAGTGCTGGGATTACAGGCATGAGCCACTGTGCCCAGCCTATTTTAAGTTTTGGAGGTTTTTTGGTTTGTTTGTTTGTTTGTTTTGTTTGTTTTGAGACGGAGTCTTGCTCTGTTGCACAGGCTAGAGTGTATCTCAGCTCATTGCAATTCTCCTGTCTCAGCCTCCCTAGTAGCTGGAATTACAGGCGCATGTCACCACACTTGGCTAACTTTTGTATTTTTAGTAGAAACGGGGTTTCACCATGATGGACAAGCTGATCTCAAACTCTTGAACTCAGGTGATCCACCTGCATTGGCCTCCCAAAGTGCTGGGATTACAGGTATGAGCCACTGCGCCTGGCCTATTTTAAGTTTTTATAAAATGAGTTTGTAAACTCAAATTACCTATAGTGATTTCAATCACAGGGTTCCCTAGAATTCCAAAGGGGGCGCTATTGGCCACCCCACTTTGAGAGCTGCTCTCCTAAGCACTTCTCTGTGACCTCCCAATCCTAACCATCCTCACCAGGCTCTCAGCCTTCACTGGGTGGGTGGACAGACAGACACTCCCTGCCTTCAGTAAAGCGTGCTCACCCCAGTGAGAGAAGTCAGTGGGGGAAGGGGAAGTTCTCTTCCTAAAGAGGAAATGCAAAATTGAGATTGGGCTTCGTTTGTCTCAAGAATTGACCACAAGGGTTAGATAGAAATCTAATCTTGCCTCAGAACCAGGGTCTAGCTCAAAGAGCAAAAGTTTGTTAGAAAACCACAGTAGTATTGGTGACTCCAGCGAGGTGCAGGAGCAACACTCATGGTGAACCTGAACTGACCACCAAACCAAGAGAATGACCACTGACCTTGACAGGGCCCTTGATGCTGCCCAGGAATCTGCTCGGTGACCTCTGCATACCCCACCTGCTCCTCAAACCTCCAGCCCCTCCCTGCATCACTCTCAGCCTGTGACCTTGATTCCAGGTTCTCTGGAACAATGAAAGCCACCAGAAGTGAAGCTCCCAGATTCCTCACCCCCCACCCCACCCCTACCACATCCACCTGCCTCCCACAAATGTGCTCAGACAGTCGGCCTTTCCTGCAGCTGGCTGGAAGGAACTGTCGCTGCTTCTAGCAGAAATTCTCTCTCTCTCTCTCCCACATCAACCTCCTTTCCCTCTCTGCTTGATCATTCCTGTCAGCAAACACACATGCTGCAATTTCTTTCAACGTACCAAAACACAAACAAACAAACAAAACCGAACCCAGAGGCCAGGTGGGTTTTGTGGTGGCTGATTCCTGTAGTCCCAGACCTTTTAGAGGCTGAGGGAGGAGGATCACTTGAGGCTAGGAGTTTGAGACCAGCCTGGGCAACATAGCGAGACCCATCTCTACAAAAAAATGTTTTAAATTAGCTGGGCGTGGTGGCATGCACCTGTAGTCCCAGCTGCTTGGGAGGCTGAGGCAGAAGGATCGCTTGAGCCTGGGAGTTCAAGGCTGTGGTGGGCTGTGATTACATCACTGCACTCCAGTCTGGGCAGCAGAGAGAGACTCTGTTTCAAAGAAAAAAAAAATTAAATAATAATAAACAAATAAAACAAGAAAACGCTTAATATCAAATCCCCTTGCAGTTGCCACTCCATCTCTTCAAAAGGAGTGTGTATATTTGCTGCTTCCAACTCCTCATCTCCCGACCTTTCCCGCCAGGCACGCCATGGGCTGCAGCTCCCAGGGGTCATCTCAGCCTGACCTGCCCTGGGGATCCCCCTCCCACTGGAACACCTTCTTCATTTTGGCTCCAGAACATCCTTCCTCCGTTTGTCCTCCCACTGCCCTGGCTTCTCCTCCTCAGTCTGTTGTGTTGGTTCCTCCCACACCCCAGTCCCCTACAGGTTTAGAATGTTTCCTTTTCAGTGAGCTCTTTCTCATCACCATACCTTATATTAATCTCCCACCCGCAGCGCCCCATCTCTGAAACAGAAAAAAAAATCTGTTTTCATATTCTCTACAGCACTTACCATCATCTGGCACACTGCAGGTCTTAATTATTTTGTTCTTTTGTTTGTGTCCCCCTCGACTAGAACGTAAGCTCCCTGAGGGCAGGGGTAGGTGTCTGTTCTGCCCACTACCATGTCCTCAGTGCGCAGGAGGGGGCCCAGCACAATACTAGATGTTCAGTAAAGCTTTTGAATGAATGAATGAATATGTAATATTGAAACCATAACCACTCATGTCTAATATGCAATGTGTGGTAATTTTTACAAATCTTGAAAGAAGCCCCCATCAGATTGCAGTCGGAGGACAAATGTGTATTTCCTAAATCCCCTTCACTTCTAAAATATTTCCTTTGCGATACGGCTGCTGTGGTGCATACCCTATTCCTTTTCCCATCCCCGTTACATTTCCCACACATGGCAGTGGTATGTGTGGTAGTCTCTTGTTTAGCCCTGTAGAATTGTGTGGCAAATACTCAGGCAGAATTTCCAGGTCACCAGAAACTGCTGCTTTCAGCCCCCTCAGAGCACAGCCAACCTTCCCCCTCAGTCCCGGAGGGGGACTCAGTCTCCAGTAAGTACCTCCTTCCTGCTACCCTTGTCTCAGGTTCCCAAATTCTAGAAAGCACAGAGAATTGCTCACAAAGGAATCCAAAGCCAAGGCCTAACAGGCTTTTATCTTCAAGGAACATGCATATGAACCTTCTGGTGGCAGCAATTAGAGCAGCCACCTTGAAGCAATGTGACACAGTCCCACCTTTGGCCGCTGAGTGATTGTAGACACTCATTTTGCTTGTCTGTGGTCGAGAGAGGTCTCTAGCCTCCTGCCTTGAGGCTGCAGCCACAGCTTGCCTGGCCCTGTGTAAGTGTTTGACCTATTTCATACATGCCACGCTGTGTGCAGCTGTACCTCCAGGGGCTGCCACCCTGACCATTCTGCTGATAGAGCGGTTTCTCCTGTTTCTTCTTTTCCACAGTAAAGATTATTTCCCAGCCTGGATTTTTGGGGCAGGCCCAGGATCTGGTTGTATAGACACCGCTCTCTGGCTGCTGCCACGTCGCTCATTTCCAAGTGTGTACACTGGACTCCCTAGAAACACTGCAGCCTCTGCTAGGCACACTGAGCAAAGCCCCCTTGTGCTCCATGCCCACCTAGGTAATATGAGACCCTGGGCTGTAACTCTCCTTTAATGCCCAGGAAGGAGCCTCTAGGCCACTGAGGCCTCAGTGCAGGCATGAGCACCCCAGGCCCTGTTCAGCCAGCTGCACCTGGTTGGCCCCAGTGCCTGAAGCCTTCCCTTCCCTCCCCGGTGCATCCTCTGTCCCCGCAGCTCCGGTCTATCTCTTCCACAGCTGCCGGCAGGCGGCTGCTTCCTGCAGTGAGTCACTCCCACACTGCCCCATTTTGGTGCAGCGACACATTTCCATGATTGTTTCCCAGGCTGGAGAGAGACTTCTCCTGGAGAGAAGGAACAAAGAGGGTGAGTCAAGGGGAACGCTCCCTCGCCTTTCCTGAAAGCTGCCCGGAGCACTGTTTGATTTCAAACAGCCCCTGGCCCCTCTTTGGTCTCTCTCTGCTCCCTATTGTACAGAGTCCCCAGCCTCTTTCCCTCTGGGTCACCTCTTCTTCACGTCTCCCTCCTGTCACTCCTGTGTCTCATCCTGATCCTCTTGTTTGATCTCGCCCCACAGATGGTTTCACGAAGGCCTCTCTCGACACCAGGCAGAGAACTTACTGATGGGCAAGGAGGTTGGTTTCTTCATCATCCGGGCCAGCCAGAGCTCCCCAGGGGACTTCTCCATCTCTGTCAGGTACTGACCATTCCTGACACCGCCTTGACCCTTCTCAGCCTGTTAACCTCCCAGAATGCCGAAGCCATGAAGGGACCTCTGGAATATGACCCAATGGTCAGAAGCATGGTGGCCTAGGGGCCAAGCATGGCAGCAGCTTCACAACCTGCTGTTCCCAGTGCCTCCCCAGAACACACGCACACCACTCCTTAGCACACTGGTGTGTATTCAAAATTATTTCTATGCCCATCTGCCTCCCCTTCTAGCCCAGGTGCTTCTGAAAGGGCAGGATTTTCCTCTACTTCATCTTTATGCCTTTAACAGTGTCTTGCACAAAATAGAGACACTCAGTGAGTATTTGTGGAAGGAAGAAGGGGTAGGAGGAGGAGAACTCCCACTTGTCCAGATCCATCTGGGGGTTTAAATCTTAACCTTTTCTTTTATGATTGATGCATATCTGAAGAAGAGTCAGGGAAAAATAGAAATCTCAAGTCATTGCTGTAGGATGTACAGGGGCGGAAAAGGTGTGGCACCTTTCTTCGCCCATCAGAAGAGTCACAGCTGACACTCCTACAAGACAGGTTAACGAGGAGAGTGGACACATTTGTTTAATCAAAAACTCATGTGACACAGAAGCCTTCAGAAATGAAGACTCAAAACCCAGGGAAAGCCGTATATTTTTATGCTTAGGTTCGACAAAGGATAGACAGCCCTGTCGAAATGGGATTGGGCAAAGGGGGTTTGATCTAAGGTAACAGACTGAGGTGGGAAATTGAACAAGGCCTGTCCCAAGTTTTGTTTTATTTTTCTTTTTCTTTTTTTGGGGGGGATGGGGGGACAGGGTCTTGATCTGTTGCCCAGGCTGGAGTGCAGTGACGCAATCATCGCTTACCACAGCCTCTGTGTCCCAGGCTCAAGCCATCATCCCACCTCAGCCTCTCGAGTAGCTGGGGATACTGGTGCACACCACCACACCTGGCTAATATTATTTTTTTAACTTATTTTTTTTGTAGAGACTGGGTCTTACTATGTTGCCTGGGCTGATCTCAAACTCCTGGCTTTAAGCAATCCTCCTGCCTTGGCCTCCCTAATAGTGACCCTTCTAGTCTCTCTGACCCACTGTGGGGAAGAGGAATTCTAATTTCTATGACTCACGCACGGGGAGAAAGAGGAGCGGGAGACCAGAGGTCAGGAAAAGGCCAAAGGAAGACTTTGCTTCCAAGGCTACTTGTGAAGGCTTCCAATCTCCTTTGGTTCAAAGCACTCAGCATGCCAAGGGGTGTCATTTTCTGAGCCCCAACAAATACATATATAGTTGTAGGCAGCTGAACAAAAAGAAAGGCTACTTCAACACAGTACAGTACAACAAAACCGAAAACAAGAGAACAGAGCCGAGGAGGGCCAGGAGTGGGGGAGGACTGTAACAGCGAAATCTCACTAAGGTGCAGCACCCCATAGGAAGTGACTCAGTCCATGTGTAGACATTACACAGCCCCAAACTCAGAAGCCCAATTCGGAACACTGTGTGTGGTCAGCATGTTGGGGATCGCAAGTCACGTATCAGACTTGACCACATGTGAAACTGCAAGAATATAATGCTGTTAGCAGATCAGGAGAAGTACAGTAAAACGTTACTGTCAGGTTATTGACAGGAAATACCGATCTGGTTGATTCAATATATTTTGAAAGGCATGTGGCTTTGTTTTAAGGACAGAAATCCAATCTCAAGTAATAAACTGTGGCCACTTTGCTATTTAGAAAGAATGGATATTTGAAAGGATAGGTAGGAAGGACTTAAAAATAACAAGTCAACAATTTGTATGCCTGCATACCTTTAAAGTGGTCTCTTTAGCATTGCCCTTGCAATCTTGCTTAAACTCTTAATTTTCCTCAAGAAAAACTTTATTTTCATAGCTTGGAGAATGGTAAACTTTAGTTCAGGCCAATATTGATGTATCACAAATTCTAATCTTGTTAGGTCTTAATTAACGAAATTTTGCTCCATTAACGTATATTACAAGTCCAGGTTGGGCGCTGTGGCTCATGCCTGTAATCCCAGCACTTTGGGAGGCTGAGGTGGGAGGATTGCTTGAGCCAACGAGTTGGAGACCAGCCAGGGCAACATAACAAGACCTCATCTCTACTAAAAATAAAAAATTAACCCAGTGTGGTGGCACATGCCTGTGGTCCCAACTACTTGGAAGGCTGAGGTGAAGGGATTGTTGGGGCCTGGGAGGTTGAGGCTGTGGTGAGCCAAGGTTGTGCCACTGCACTCTAGCCTGGGTGACAGAGCAAGACCCTGTCTCAAAAGAAAAAGATTATTTACATATATTATATACATATATAATTAGAAAAAACAATTTTACATATATTATATTTAACATGTATGTATATATATTACAAGTCAAATCTATTTCTTAAGCCTCCCCTCTCTACCCCATCATAAACTTGACCAAGTAATTTGTTAGACTGAGGGGTATCTCTTGGGCCTTTGGTTTGCCTGAAGATGACTCTGGCTTTTTCAGCTAGAAACTATGGTTTTTGTGGTTTTGTTGGTTTTTTGAGACAGACTCTCGCTTTGTCACCCAGGCTGGAGTGCAGTGGCACGATCCTGGCTCCTTGCAACCTCCGCCTCCCAGGTTCACAGCAATTCTCATGCCTTGGCCTCCCGAGTAGCTGGGACCACAGGTTCGCACCACCACGCCTGGCTAATTTGTGTGTGTGTGGTTGTTTTTAGTAGAGACGAGGTTTCGTCATGTTGGCCAAGCTGGCCTTGAACTCCTGGCCTCATGTGATCTGCCCGCCTCAGCCTCCCAAAGTGCTAGGATTATAGGCGTGACCCACTGTGCCCGGACCCAGAACTATGGTTTATATTTGTTTTATTAAAGTGAATTCTACAAAACAGTCAGCCTTGACTTCTACCAAAGTCTTCCCCTGATATTGAGGCAATGAAGCTTCTAGTTATGGTGACAATTACCGTAATCATTATCACATCTTCTGTAGAAATGCAGTATAATATTTTCCAAAGCAAAATCATTGTTAATTATTTTTACATCTGTCATGGGCACAAATAATTAAGAGTTAATTGTAGTTCTATCATTCAGCATTTGTTAAGGGCCTAAAACACCAGATTTTGGAGTCCAGCATCCTGAGTCGCATCCTTTCCTTTGTTCCACTTCAGGCTTGGGACAATAGTCAGGCCATCCTCTCCTTGTAGACCCAGATGACCAGCAGCAACCCTCACATCCATCCTTACAGCTTATGAGAGTAAAAGGGTTAGTGTTTCACACTCTGAGTTCTTTGAGGTGGTGGATGAAAAATTATAATATCATAAGAATATTTCCTCCTCCTCCTCACCCGAATGTGAAGGGTAATGACTTTGATTTGATCCATGTTGTCTTAGAAGGAAGAAAGTATCTGTTGGTGGCCAAAACCGAGGGGAAGACCACACAGTGATTGCAATATGTTGATTACCACCCCAAATCAGTCAAGCAAGAGGCCACTTGCACAACCTTTGGCTTCACTCAGCTATGAGCAAATCTCAGCATGTAAGATGAGACTGAGGCTCAGAATTTCCATGTCCTTCTTAACACAGATCCCTAAATCCATCCCTAAGAAACCTCCACTTACTCTCAGAGGTATCTTTACTCTCCAAGACCCTTTAAAATTCTTGACCTTTCTTTTACATCAGGCAATTGGCATCACTAGTGCTGGTTTATTTTTAGATATAAATGTATGTCGTTTGAAAATAAACTTTACATCCAAAAGAGAATGACTTGGCAATGAAGTAAAACTGGATCTAATGGTAAAGGCTCAGTCCACCCTTCCTAGATGGATAAAATCCATTTTCTCTAGCCCTGGTTTGAATGTATCCCATCATTTGTGAGTCCAGACTGGCATCAGAAGGTGCTGATCTAAAAGAAGTTATCATGTTTACGTGGCGTGACAGGCAAGCTCACTAGACTGGAGTCAGAGGCTCAGGGTTCTGGCCTCAGTCCTGCCACTCAGCAGTGACCTTGGCCAACCCCCTGAACCTCTCTGAACCTCAGTGTTCTCATCTGTAAAATGGAGAAGTAAGGCTAAACAATCTCCAAGATCCTTGCCAATTAAAACTCTATCATTTTGCCGGGAACAGTGCCTCACGCCTGTAATCCCAGCACTTTGGGAGGCCGAGGCGGCTGGATCACCAGAGGTCTGGACTTCAAGACCAGCCTGACCAACATGGTGAAACCCCATCTTTACTAGAAATACAAAAAAGCTAGCCGGGTGTGATGGTAGGTGCCTGTAATCCCAGCTACTCAGGAGGCCGAGACAGGAGAATCGCTTGAACCTGGGAGGCAGAGGTTGCAGTGAACAGAGATCGCACCACTGCGCTTCAGCCTAGGCAACAGAGTGAGACTCCATTTCAAAAAAAATTAAAAAAACTCTATATTTCATACAAAGCTATTTCGCCAAAAGCTGAAAACACTTTGTAACCTTATTTATGCAAAACATAAACCAAGATGATCCTTATTACATGGAGAAAAAATGTGACATATTTCTTAGGAAAGAGAGCAGCTTCTTACCTGCCAGTGCTAGCTTATGGGCTTAAATTAGGAGATGGTCCAAAGTATTTCTGGTAACAGGAAGATAATAGGAGCTTGAAATAACCCCATTGACATCTTGCAAATAAACATTGTGAAAAGGTCTTTGATCTCTTAGTCGTTAAGGCACTTGGAACATGCTTTTCTTGTAAAAGGCTAGTTCCAGTGTCCAAGACAAATTTTAGCTCATCTGATTACCTTCTGCTGATGTAAATCCCCTCTAGCATAGCCTGTATCCTAAGTGGTCCATCCTAGAAAGCTCCTGCCGAAGCCTGACTGGCTGGCCCACCTGCCTAGTGATGAGTGAGTCATCCATATCTACATCTCCTGCCGAAAGAGAACTCCACCATCCCAGATGCGAGCAGCCTGGAGGTGGTGACATTATCACTGTGTAACATACAATTTCGTTTTGCCTTGATCTCCAGGCATGAGGATGACGTTCAACACTTCAAGGTCATGCGAGACAACAAGGGTAATTACTTTCTGTGGACTGAGAAGTTTCCATCCCTAAACAAGCTGGTGGACTACTACAGGACAAATTCCATCTCCAGACAGAAGCAGATCTTCCTTAGAGACAGAACCCGAGAAGACCAGGTATGCTCCAGGTCCGATCGACCCCAATCTAGAGATTTTAGGCAGCCCAAGTTCTCACGGGAACCGCAAGGAAAAATGCATAGGATGGGTATATCCTCTGAGTGTACTGAAAGACAGGGCTCAGAGCTCTGAGGTCAGATCTCAACTTAATACTTCCTAGTTGTGTGACTTTGGAAAGTTCTCTGAGCCTCAGTTTCCTCATCCATAAAGTAGGGATAATGGTAATATCTACCTCCCAGGATGGCTGTGAAGGTTGGAGAAGATAATGTATCCCATGCTTCATGTCATTCCTCGTCACACTGCACTCAAGAAGCATCAGTTCTTCCCACAGGTGCTGTTTGTTTGTTATTCATAGACATTGCTACACCAAAGTTTTCAACCTAGCTCAAGAGTTGCCCAAGATGAAGGAGTTGGGGGTGCTACAGACGGGGACATTAGGGAACAGCCTAGAGGTCAGGAATTAATTCAGCAGTTGGAGTTTTATGATGGGATTGGGGGTGGGGAGGACATGGGAGGAGAAAACTGCACTTGGAATTATTGCTGTTGGAACTGTTTGGAATACAGAGTATTGCTTTAAAAGGAAATGCGTCAGACAGACCTGGTATGAGATCCTGCTTTAATCACTTAGCTACCTGTATTCCCTAGCCAAGTTAAGAAACCTTCTGAGTATCAGTTTTCTCATCAGTAGAATGGAGAGAACAATAAAGCCTCCCTCACTGGGCCGTTGTGAGGAGTAAATGAGTTACTACACTAAGCACTATCAGAGTCTGGTCCATATTAAGCACTAAGAAAATGTTAACTTGCCTCCCATGAGTAAATTCACACATACACACACACACTCTCTCTCTCACATACACACACACACACACACACACACCAATTTATAAACTATTTTTCAAAGGAAATAACATGGTTATAAGAGACAGGTATCATAGGAAGAAGCATTCACTAGAATAGCTGAAATCCTAGGGACAGGTTATTTGAAAAGGTATTGAGACTGTGAAAGCAATGTGTGCTTTGGGGAAGTCAAGAAAATCCTCCTTTTTCAAGTCCGTAGTTGCTTTTAAGCCTGAGAAGTTACTGCCAAAGGAGAAAAGAAGTTCCCACCAAATGCACACAGAAGTTGAGAAAGGAAAACAAAGGCTAGCCAAGACCTTGTGAATCACTCTAACCAGGAAACGAACAGAGGTATTAACTCACTAGGATGTGCATTTAGAGATAAGAGAAGCAATATAAAATTGCATTAAACGGGATTAAATGAGTTGGTATTTGTAAAGCGCTTAGAACAGTGCCTGGTATATGCTACGCCCAGGGTCCTACGTAATTGTTTGTTAAATGAAAATAACAATATGGTATTTCTGATTCGTAAGGTTGTTTTAACATTAGGGAAAAGGCCTTACTTCTTCCCCAGCGGCAGGCCTGGTTCCCATGGCATTGCAAGAATGTTGCTGTTTAGGTCTCTATCACCAGGCCATAAATGACAGTTCAAAATCACGCAAAGTCAACAGTGGAGCTCATCTGGAGGGTAGGATGTCCAGCGGTGTGGCAACATGTGATAAGAAGGGGCGGCATTGTATCAGTAAAGTGGAATATTTCAGCTTGATTACACAGAGAAAAAACAAGCGCCTTGGAAATGGATTAAATGGCTACCAGGCGGAAAGTGTTAGTCTGTGAACTAGAGACCTGAACTCCTAAAACTGGGAGGATCTGAGAATACAGAGGCCACTTTGGAAAATGTGAAGGTCTGAAGTATCAATTCTCTTTCAGCTGCCCCCACCTACCAGCTATTTCTTGGAGCCAGAATGAGCAGGGTCCGGGAACAACTGCCCGAGGGTGGGGTAGGGCCCGAAGATCAGAGAGGACGGCGCATCTGCAGCATCTCTCTTCTCTCTCCCAGGGTCACCGGGGCAACAGCCTGGACCGGAGGTCCCAGGGAGGCCCACACCTCAGTGGGGCTGTGGGAGAAGAAATCCGGCCTTCGATGAACCGGAAGCTGTCGGATCACCCCCCAGCCCTTCCCCTGCAGCAGCACCAGCACCAGCTACAGCCTCCGCAGTACGCCCCAGCGCCCCAGCAGCTGCAGCAGCCCCCACAGCAGCGGTATCTGCAGCACCACCATTTCCACCAGGTATCTGGAAAGAAGGCAGTGGGCACAATACGGCGGAAAGGAGAACCTGCCTCCCCTCCAAGCCTGGCCCAGCCTCTTTAGGTCTCAGAGAGTTCATGATGAAGACCCTGGACCCCCCCCCAAATGGCAGAAATAGGGAAACTGCTCTTGGCAAAGACATCTCTGTGAATTAAATGACTCCCGCCTGAACACACACACACATACACATACACACACACACTCACACACACTCACACACACACACTTCCCCTGAGGACTCAGTGAACAATTGCTTCATTTTCCTATCAGCACACTTCCAAATCTATTCATGCCCCTTAACCCATCTGGCTGTCGAGATCCACAAGAAAAAAAGGCTTAATACCCACAACAGAGCCTTGTTTATTACTTATTTATCCGCTCCCACCCTTGTTCCCGATGGGTTTTCAGGCAGCTTACTGAGATGGACAATACGTTCATCGTTCCTGAATTCCTTAGCAGGGCACACAAAGTCCTTTGTGAGCTGCCAGAATCTATTTCCCCAGCCTCATCCCTGCTGCCTCCCCCCGACTCCCATGCAAACATACATTCCAGCAACCCCACACTACCTTAGTTACCCGAATGGTCCACTGCGTTTCCTCTCATGCCTTTGTGGTGTTTTATATGCTGATCCCTCTGCCTGATGAGCCCCGCCCTGGGCAATCCTACCCCTCCTCTAAGCTGGAGTTCAAGCATCACCTCCTCTGTGAAGCCTTTCTTGATTTCCTGGGCAGACACAGACATTTCTTCTCTCTGCTCACTTACCACTTAAATGCCCATGGTTCCCCCTCTAAATGGAAGCTCTATGAAGCCGAGACCTTCTCTTTCCAGCTATATTTCCCTTGTGTCTGCTACTGGACACATGGTAGGTGCCTGATAAATATTTCTTGACTGAATAAATGAAACTCGCCTTTGCCTTCTTTGCCTTCAGAATCTAAGGTCCCTTTAGACCTTAAGTCCTCCTCCCCCTCAGCGTGGAAGGTTTATTGTCATCACCAGTAAGTATTCCTGGAATATACCAGCTGTGTGGATGGCATCTGAGCAAGGCAGTGAGGGGACCGGTGGGTGATGTCCTGGCAGCGGGATGACCGGTCTTCTGTTGTATGTTTCTAGGAACGCCGAGGAGGCAGCCTTGACATAAACGATGGGCACTGTGGCACCAGCCTGGGCAGTGAAATGAATGCAGCCCTTATGCATCGGAGACACACAGACCCAGTGCAGCTCCAGGCAGCAGGGGTATGAGAACCATCCCTCTTGGATCCCTGGGGAAAGGCCCTGGAACAGAGCTCAATGGAGAAGATGAGGCAGGAGAAACTCAAACCACACAGATCTGGCTGGGCACGGTGGCTCACTCCTGTAATCCCAACAGTTTGGGAGGCCGAGGCAGGTGGATCACCTGAGGTCAGGAGTTTGAGACCAGCCTGGCCAACATGGTGAAACCTCATGTCTACAAAAAATACAAAAAACTAGCCGGGCGTGGTGGCAGATGCCGGTAATCCCAGCTACTCAGGAGGCTGAGGCAGGAGAATCGCTTGAACCCAGGAGGCGGAGGTTGCAGTGAGCCGAGATTGCGCCATTGTACTTCATCTTGGGCAACAAAAGAGAAACTCCATCTCAAAAAAACAAACAACAACAACAACAACAACAAAAACAACAAAAACGCACACACAGATCAAATGAGAGGGGATGGAATGTTTGGGGAGGCCTGGGGCTGAGCCAGCACCGTCCAGTCTGTTGATCTCAGTCTGGTGCCTGCCAGGCCTTCCCTGTTCTCATAGTCCTCTGTTCTGGTTCTTTATCGTCTTTATCATAGCCCTTTACCATTGCCTTTATCATTGCTTTTTTGCTTTGTTTTTTGAGACAGGGTCTCACTCTGACTCCCAGGTTTGAGTGCAGTGGCACAATCACGGCTCACTGCAGATTCAAACTCCTAGGCTCAAGCGATCCTCCTGCCTCAGCTTCCCAAGCAGCTAGGTATATTATTTGTAGCGATGAGCTCTCACTATATTACCCAGGCTGGTCTGGAATTCCTGGGCTCAAGCAATCCTCCTACCTCAGCCTCCCAAAGTGCTGGGATTACAGGTGTGAGCCACCGTGCCTGGCCTGTGATCCATCTTGACTCATGACTTGATTGCCCTAACACCAAGGACTATTGTTTGGGGCATGTTGCCATTCTGTTTGTCACTCAAAGAAGATAAAAATACCACCTATTGATGTGGAGAGAGTGGTTCTCAGGGAGTCTCTTGGGGCTTTGGACAGTAACATCTGTTGGTAAAAGTCCTGGGTCTCCAGAGTGACGCTGGTGCATTCTGGGAACTTCTTGCTCAGGCCTGTGCAGAGGTATCTGATTTAAATTGCAGCAGCATAGCCGGGCATGGTGGCTCACACCTGTAGTTCCAGCTACTTGGGAGGCCAAGGCAGGAGGATTGCTTGAGGCCAAAGGTTCAAAACCAGCCTGAGCAACATAGTGAGACCCCCATGTCTACAAAAAAAATTTGTTTAAGCTGCAGAGGGGTCAGCCTTCAGGGAATGTTGCTCTCAAAGGACTTGGATGTGGTGGGAGGAGCCAGCAGACCCTCCCCTGCCTGCCCAGCCCACAGCTCAGCAGAGCCTCTTCTGTGCTTCCCCCAACAGCGAGTGCGGTGGGCCCGGGCGCTGTACGACTTTGAGGCCCTGGAGGATGACGAGCTGGGTTTCCACAGCGGGGAGGTGGTGGAAGTCCTGGATAGCTCCAACCCATCCTGGTGGACCGGCCGCCTGCACAACAAGCTGGGCCTCTTCCCTGCCAACTACGTGGCACCCATGACCCGATGAACCCTTCAGGGGACAGAAGCTTTTTGTCTGGAGCTGCCCACAAGGAAGGGGGCAAGGAAAAAAGGCTGGACTCCATGACTATATATACATACATCTATCCGTGTCTGCCTGTGCACACACAACATTTTATACTAGTAATTTATTGGCAATTGGGCTGGTAATTAGTTGATGCAAAAGGGAACTCAGGTGGAGAAGAATATTCACACTTGCTTTTCTGCTCCCCTCAGGGGTGTGTGGAAGGCACTGGGGGAGTTGGGAGGGGGGCAGGGAGATGAAATGGAGCTTTGTCCTGGCCTTCAGCTATCACTGCTTCCTCCTTGTCTTGGGAATTTTCACGGAGAACAGCTAAGCAGAGACTGCACCTCGGCATTGGACACAGAACAACAGGGTGGGGTTGAACATGGTGGGGCACGTTCTAGCTGACCTGCAAGCCCCGCTCACCTGGAGGGCTTGCAGGGCAGCTCTCCTCCTATTCTCCAAGGGGTGGGCACTGCTGCATTGGGAATTAAGGTGCAGCTCAGTGCCACGGGCAGCCAAGCCAGTCTGAGCAGGGATGTGGAGGCAGGACGGGGTTGGAGAGACTCTGCCTGTGCGAGGCTGGCCTCCTAGTCAACACCTAGCTGAGACATCCATCTCTGTTCAAATTAATATTCCTTGGGTCTTTCAAACGAATGTTCCAATGTGAGGAGCCAAGTCCTGGGAAATCAAGGGATTTTCCATGATCCCCAAGCAGCTTACTCTGTGTAACCTCTACTTCCCCAGCTATGAAGGAAATAGCATCCTAGACTCCATAAAGAGCTTGGAGAAGCTCTGGCTGAGAATGCTGAATGTTAGAGTCATTGTTTTATGGTTACAAGAGTGTGTCTTCAGGGCTGTGTTCATTTTCCCTCTTGATTTTGTTTTGAAGATGCCTTGCCCAGTGGCATGGAAAGAAGCCCACTTAATAAGAGCACTGACTGTGGATTGATTGACTAAATATGACCCCAGGTGGAAGCTGGCTTTTATGTGAGCTCCCTGTTCAGTCTGACCATTGCTGTCCTCCTGCCACCCAAGAGTTGCACCTGGAGTAAGGAACCCCACCATGGCTGTCCCTCTCCATCCCCTCAAGCTAGAATCATGTGTCCAAGTGCTCACCCTGCAGGTGCGCAGCAGACGTCAGCCTGGCCAGGGACGAAGGAAACACTGGAGAGGAAGCTCAGGGCCTTAGAGGAGGCCAGGCGCAAACCCTTTCTTCACCAAGGGCACTCGGAGTTTGTGGGTGTGGGTGTGTACCCCGCGGGTGTGCCCATGTGTGCTTGCAGGCACATATGTGTGCACTCCTATGTGTATACATGTGTGCTTGTGTGTGCATGTGTGCATTCCTGTATGTGTGGACATGTGTGCGCATGCATCTGTGTGTCTGTGTGGTGAGACAGGCAAGAGGGGAGAAAGTGTTGGTGAGGGAGCCTGGAAGTTTTCTCTTCCCCAGCCTCTCTCGCTCTAAGGAGGGACGGGGTTGGGGGCAGCCATTATTGCAGGTGATTGGAGAAGAAAGATTTTCTGACTCAGAAGTAACTGCCAGTGTAGCACAAGCAGTGTCCCTTGTGACTCTGATTCTACAGTTCTCTGATCCCCATGTTTCCTTTAGTGGAAAGAGGAAAAAGGAACTCGTGGTGGGTATAGGGAGGGAAAAGAAAATAGCCTGGTGGAGGCAGGGGGGAGTCGAGCCTGAGGAAGGAGTGCCTGCAGCTTTTGGAAGTGAAAGCAGAGACAGGGAAAGGTAGCTAAGACGTCCAGGAGTATCAAGGGGCAGTGTGAGAGGCACAGGGGGAGGAAGGGGAGAGGGTGAGTGCGGCTAGGGAAGAGAGCGGTGTGGAGTTGGTGGGCAGACGGTGCAGGAGGAGGGCCAGGCAGTGGGGAGAGGAAGAATCAGAGCAGAGAAACCGCTGCTGTGGAAGGCAGGGAGCAAAGAAGCATAAGAAAAAGAACAGGAGAAAGAACAAAGGCAGAGAAGACCTCCTCAGCTATTTTGGTGCTAGGTAATGTGAAATGCTGCAGTAAATAAAAGCCAAAAGTAATGTTTGATTTTACAATATTTACAAACCATATGCTTTAAACAGCCCACAAACTTCATCCAGTTGTCTGATGATGTGGGAGGACCAGCTCTAGTTAGACAGAGGTACGTGATTGGATTGTGGTGGAGATTTTGTGCCTTGAAAGACTTCTCAAGAAAGCAGTAATAAAACAAAGTGTCCTTGTTTGGCCAGGCTGGGTCTGGTGTCTGTGTCGCATAACCCTCAGGTAGAGAGTGAGAACGAGACCAAGGGGTGACAGGCATCATCAGCCTGCAGGAGCTGACCCCATAGGCAGGTGGTATAAGCAGAGCTTTCAGAACCCCTGGAACTCAGTGTTTTGTTCTAGCTAAAGCTACTGAAGGGTATTTTGTACTGAGATGCCAAAGCGTCCTTCCCGTGCTCGTCAGCATGCCTCCATTCAGAAGGAACCCACAAGGAATGAGGGCTGTTAGCGGCCAGGTAAAGAGGAAAAGAACCAAACTGTCCACGTTACGAACGGGCGGGGGAAAGGGAGCTCAACCTCCCTCAGCCTCTGGTGCTGCCAGGGGGAGTCCCTCCTCATGTGTCCCCACGGGCCCTAGTTTCTACCGGATAGCATTTCAGCACCAGAGGAGGGTCCAGCCAGCGCCTCTCACCAGTCACACAACCAGCAGCCAACATTGTCCCCGAGTTTAGCTGCAACATTCTATGTAACTTGGGAGCTTGGCGCTTCCAGAGAAAAGCCAGTTCCTGTTGGACCAGTGGTTGGGTTTTCCTCACCACTCGCTGTGCCTCACCGCATTTCAAATATCTGGCACCAGCCACTGCCCACCCACTTTTAGATGGCCCCAGGGTGATCTAACCATGGTGCTTCTCAAAATTTAAAGTGCCTACCAATTGCCTGGGGATCATGTTGTAATGCAGCTTCCAACTCGGTCCTGAATTTCTGACAAGCTTCCGGGTGCTATTACTGGGTACACATGTTAAGTAGCAAAGGCGAAGAACTTAGCAGTGAGCAAAACTCTAATTGGGTTCTTCTTCTGAGGATATTCGGCCATTTTTCTTTGCTGCTGACGAATAGGTCACTTTGGCTTTGGGACAGATGCAATGCAGAACTGTCATTATTGACGTCATTCATATTTGGCGGCCCTGGTGACTTATTATTTTAGCATCTTTATCTAGAATTAAAAAAATGTAATGTGAGAGGAATTCAGATGAAATGCAAACAGGAATTTCCTATAACAATTACTATTTCCTAATAGTAATTATTTTAAACATGAGCAGAGGTTGCAGAAGTTGTAAAAGTTTTGTCAGGAAATCTTTAGTCATAAAATTGACTCTGGTCAGACGTGGCCCTGGTTGGGGCAGGGGACTGTGCTCCCAGCTAACCTAAAACACGACAGCCCATCCGGGGGACAGATTAGCATGGCCGAAATATTTGCTGTTTGCCTTGTCTAAGCCAACATTTCAGCCCGTCTATACCAAGGCAAGGGTGTGAGAAAAACCTTGATTGTCTCAATTCTTTCTAAAAAATGCTTCCTCAGTTCCTCCACTTTACTCCCTCACCTTGGCCATGCCGCCATTGTCTCTTGCTTTGGTAATTGTCAGCTTTCATACCCTTCTCCCTGCATTCTCTCCTGTAATCCGGCCCTCTACACAGATGCCAAAGCGATCTTTGTAAAAATAAATCTGATCACATCACTCCCCTTCCTACTGGATTTAGGTTTAAGTCCAAAGTCCTAATGTGGCCCTGTGAAGTCTGGCGCCTGCCTCACTCCTCAGCCGCCTCTTCTGCCTCCCCTGCCCCTTGCTTTTATGCTCCTGCCCCACTGGCTTTTCAGCCTCCAAATAGCCAGGGATTTGTCCCCAAACCTTTCACACTTGCCATTCTTGCTGCCTGGAGGCACATCCCCTGCTAACCCTGCTAACTTTTGTTCATCTCCAGGTCTGAGTTGGTTTTTTGTTTCAGATGGGATCTTGCTCTGTTTCCCAGGCTGGAATGCAGTGGCACAGTCTCAGCTCACTGCAACCTCTGCCTCCCAAGTTCAAGTGATTCTCCCACCTCAGCCTTCCGAGTAGCTGAGATTACAGGGGCATGTTACCAGACCTGGCTAATTTTTGCATTTTTGGTGGAGACAGGGTTTCACCATGTTGGCCAGGGTGGTCTTGAACTCCTGACCTCAGGTGATCCACCTTGGCTTCTCAAAGTGCTGGGATGATAGGTGTGAGCCACCATGCTGGGCCCAGGTCTGGGTTTAAATGTCACTTCCAAACAGTCCTCCCTGCCCCCTAATCTAAAATAATCCTTCTCCTAAGATGGTCTCATGAATCCTGTGCCTTTTCTGAATAGTATGTACGCAGATGATGGTGCCAGACTGAGCTGTATGGCTATTAGACTGTAAGCTCCACGGAGCAGGGGTCACCTCTGTTTTGTAAACCATTGTACACCCAACATCTAGCACACAGAGGCTCAGTAAATATTTTTCTAATGGAGGAATGATTGGACCTGCTTCATCTCATCTATTTACTCATTTTGTAACTCAACTGTCTTGGGCCTAACAGACCTATGGATGCAAACAAGGTCATATTTACAATGATATCCAGGTTCCAGTAGCTGTAGCCACTGTCTTTGGATTCTCCTCCAGTTAACTTCCGAGAGGCCAAGAGAGGGAGGCTGGTATCTCTCACGTGTTTAGGCACCAGTATACTCACACTTCCTACTCTGGTTCCAGTGCTCTGTTGCCCCACACATCCTCTGCTGACAATGCCTTCCTAGATACTGCAGATCCACTATGTACCACATTTATCTGCTGGTGAATTGACCCGATCCTTCAGGACACCAAATCTGCCCTGCAGTCCCCATGACAAGAAGATTGGGGAAGAGGTAGAGGGGAGGATGGCCTGTGCCCAATTCTGAGAGGCACTGGTTGGTCCCTGGCTCCCTCAGCATCTTCCATGAGCACAGCTGGCTCTCTTCTCAGCAGAGCCCTCCCTCCATCAGACAGAACAGGGAATACCAACCCTTCCCTCCATCTCTCTTTTCTCACTCTTCCCTGTTGCCTCTTTCTCCTTCCGCTCAAAACAAGCGGAATGTACCTACATGCCATCATTAGCTCCCAGCTAACCTGAAACACAACAGCCCACACTGGGGACTGATTAGCATGGCCAAAATATTTGCCGTTTTCTTTGTCTAAAGTCAACACTTCAGCCTGTCCATACCAAGGCAAGGGTGTGCCCTGCACCACAACATTTGTGCAGTAGATACCACCTAGAAGCCCAGTAGCTGTGCACCCACTCGTATTATTTTCAGTTTTGCTATAATTCATTCATTACATCAACAAATATTTACAAAGCACCTCTTCAGAGTCAGACACAATCAGCCATTGGGTCCTTCACATCTCTCAACTCTGTCCCTTCTCTGCACCCATTCCATAGCCACTGCCTTACTTCAAACCTCTCTCATTTCTTTCCCTGGTGACGGCAATAGTCTCAGCGCTCGTCTCCCTGCATTCCTGGCTGGCCCCCTGTAATCCAGCCTCCAAGGCAGTCAGGGAGATCTTATTCAGAGACAGGCTGATGATACCAAGCTTCTGCTCAAATCCTTGGGTTCTTCATGGTCTTCAGGCTGGAGTTTAACCTCCTTAGCTTCGCACTAAAGGCCTTTTGTGATCTGTCTGCTGCCTTATTTGTTCAGCCACATCTTCTACCTCTCTAGTCCCAAACACCCTTTACTTCAGTCCCTTAGAACGATTTTTGGTTCCCAGAATGAGGCATGTTTTCTCAGACCTCTGAGCCGCCCACATTCTGTTCTTTTTGCCTGGAGTGCTTCCTCCCGCTGTTTTGTCTAGACAAGTGCTGTCCATTAGGACTTTCTGTGATGAGGGAAAAGCTCTGTGTCTGATCCATCCAATGTGGTAGCCACTAGCCACATGTGGCTATTGAATACTTGAAACGTGCCTGGTACAAATGACTGAAATAGCCACATGTGGCAAGGGGCTGTCTTATTGGGCAGCATGGGTCCAGACAACTGTTACTTACTTTGAAATCATTAGCTCGGGGCTCAAGGTCTCCACTGGGAAACCATCCCAATATTATGATTGACATAAGTGCCCCCCGCCCCAGCCCCCCATTATGTTCCTGTAGTAACCTTGTTCTCCCTCTATCCCAATACTCAGAACACCATTGTCAGTGATTCACTGATCTACCTCCTCCACTAGACCGAATCTTTTTTAGGTCAAAGACAAGCAGTGCAGTCAATAAATGGTTGATGCCTGGATGCAGTGGTGTGCTGGTAAAAGTTTAATAATTGGCTCTCTCTGAGAGGAAGCCCTGACTTGTAGTATTTGCCAATTCTGTGCTGTAAACACTCCCACTATATGCCAAGAGAATGAGAAGACAAGTCACAGACCAGGAGAAAATATGTACAGAAGACATATCTGATAAAGGACTATGATAGACAAAGAACTCTTAAAACTCAACAATAGGCGGGGTGCAGTGGCTCACGCCTGTAATCCTAGCACTTTGGGAGGCTGAAGCAAGTGAATCATGAGGTCAGGAGTTCGAGACCAGCCTGGCCAAGATGGTGAAACCCCGTCTCTACTAAAAATACAAAAATTAGCCAGGTGCAGTGGCGGGTGACTGTAATCCCAGCTACTTGGGAGGATGAGGCAGGAAAATTGCTTGAACCCGGGAGGTGGAGGTTGCAGTGAGCCAAGTTTGTGCCACTGCACTCTAGCCTGGGCAACAGAGCAAGACTCCATCTCAAAAAAAAAAAAAAAAAAGAAAAAACAACAACAACAACAAAACTCAACAATAAGAAAATGAACAACCCGATTTAAAAATGGGCAAAAGACATGAACAGACAGCTCACAGAAGAAGATATAGATGGCAAGTGAGGAGATCAAAAGATGCTCAATATCATATGTCATTAGGAAAATGCAAATTAAAACAATGAAATATCACCACACACCGATAAGAATGCCCCATATCTAGAATACTGACAACATCAAATGCTGGTGATTACGTGAAGCAACAGAAACTCTCATTCATCGATGATGGGAAGACAAAATGGTACAGCCACTTTGGAAGATAGTTTGACTGTTTCTTGCAAAACTAAACTTACTCTGGTCATAGGATCCAGCATTCACACTCGTTGTTATTTACCAAAAGGTGTTGAAAACATCCACACAAATATCTGAACATGGATATTTAT